TGAAATGCTTAAATGCATAGGCTTCTCCCTTTGACTGGTCTCTCCACTAAAAGTCTTGTGAGTTCGGGATAGATGTGAAAGGTCAATAATCCTTGGCGTTAGCAGCTTATGAGAAAAAGAAAGCTAAGAAATTAAGTCTGCAGAATACCTATCAGATGCCCAAAGGGGTTACAGACACAACAGGGCCAGACTCTGCCCATGGTAGAAGCTGCAACGTGGGAAATCCCAGTTGCGCGTAACAATCCTTCTGCACGCAAGTGGTGCTTCCCTGAGACAGGCCTGAAGTGGTGGGGGATCTCTGTCCTCAGCGATTGCCCAGACTCACCTGGATGTGGCCCTGAGCAACCTGCTGTAGCTGCAACATTGGCCCGGCAGTGAGCCAGGGTTGAATGAGCGACACCCCAGCCCCCCGGGGGCGTGCCTCTTTGCAGAGTCAAATTATAGGTAATGGGAAGGTGGAAAAAAGTCCTCTTAATCAAAGTAACTGTTGTGTAGATGTCTGAGTTTTCTCCCCTAGCACAGAAGGTAATTCTGAAAAGAAGCAGGTTCACTGATGTCCATATGCTCTGAGCCTGAAGTGCCAAGAGAGCAGAAAGGATATTAATTGTGTTGAATAAAAACTTGTTAACATGAAGTTTTTCCAACAGCACGCTACATCCAAAATGCTGTCAGTGAATAGGTTTTCGCTACTGTGAGTTAGCACTGGGGCAACTTAAAAATTGCATGTTAACTCCTTGGTTTGTAAATTGATAGCTGGGGGTGGCCATGGAGCTGGAAATCCAATTGTTGCTCTGCAAAAAAGGCAGAAAGTCTGGCTTCAGAGCATAGGGGGTGATACCTAGGCCTGAAACATCTCATGCAAGCACCCTCTCTGTGATGTGGTCCCTCAAGAAGGCTTTGAAACACCAGTCCTGTGCAGTGATGCTCACCAGCCCAGCTCTGTATCTAACTTGAGTTTTATCTTCTCCTCATAGGTGGTTAAATCAGGAGGCTTCAAAGCTTTTGACTACGGCAGTGGAAACCAAGCCATGTACCACCAGGTATGAGGCCACACAGGAGGCCACAGCAGCAGTGCTAGTTTCCAGAGGAGGGAGGTGGACACTCTGCAGAGGTGGAGGGCCCAGGGGAAGACCCATAGCCTCTGCATTCAGCTCATGAACAGTGTCCCTCTGAAACTGTGGCCAGGCTTACCCAGAGTCCCATCCTGCATGTTAAAGGGACTAGTTGGCTTGCAAGGCTTAATGACAAATGTGGTTTCTCAGGAGTGCCCATGTCTCTCCAGGAGAAACCTCCCTCCTACAAGATCGAGGAGATGCCTGTGCCAACTGCAGTGTGGTCCGGGGGTGAGGACTGGACAGCTGACTGGAGGGACGTCAGCCTGCTAGTGTCCCGCATCACCAATGTTGTTTACTACAGGAACATCACTGACTGGAACCACTGGGACTTTGTGTGGGGGCTGGATGCCCCTGAGTGCCTCTACAGCAAAATCATTGATCTGATGGAGACACCCCAGTAAAAGGCAGCTCCCTGGACTTAGTGGGACATAGGCCACTGCTGAGAGATGCTAGTAGCCTGGTCCCTTTTCCACAGCCCCAGGGAGCTATGCCAGCGATAGCACAAGGAGGCAGTGAGACGTTCCTTTTCCCCCTGTTTCTCCCTTCAGTGTCTTCTTCATGCTGGCCTGAAACACTTGTGGTCACAGTGTTTCCTGCTTATCCTTCAGCCGTCAGGGTCTGCCCCCCCCCGCCCCTTTCCTGAAAGCTGCTTAAAGATAAGACCCAAGACAATGATTCCCTTAATTGGGGCAGGGTGGGACTGGGGCATATCAAGTGGACAAATGGCCTAGGTAGTCCAGTACAGCTCAGGTAGTAGTGGGATGAATCAATGCACCAGGACATGCAGGGCTTGAGCATCCATGCAGCCCTGTTGGAAAGGCCCCGATGTGACAGTGGAGCCACATCCCAGGCTGTGTGAGGGGCCCTGGTGAGACCCCATGGAGGCTGCCAAACTGGTCAGGCCTGGATTACTCAGCCCAGGAAGAGATGGGAGGGAGCTGGGCTCGTAGGCTCTGGCCACTGGGAGGCTGAGGTAGGTTGCAAGCAACTCCCAACTGTGGAATAGGCAGAAACAGAGGGGAGGCACCCAAAGGGGGAGCAGCCCCGGAATAGGTCGCCAGGGACATGGGGGATCTCCATCCTGGGGGGGTTCAGGGCTTGGCTGGGCCAGGCCACAGTCACTAAGAGCTAGTCCTCATGACAGGAGGTTGAACTAGAGACCTCCCAAGGTCTCTTCCACCGAAACTGCAGTCGTGCTGTGAATGTAGCTCTTCCATCTTAATCTAAAACAGTCCCTAAGCTACTTCATCCCCTTTTTCTTTGTGGGATCACCAAGGACCTCAGGGATCAGGGCAAAGAGGAACTCTGGAGTAGGAAACTGCCTGGAGCCAGTGCTTGCCCCACTGAGGTGGAGATCAGTGGGGCAAGGATAAATTTCAGGGGTCATGGCTCAGCAGGCACCAGGAAGCCCTTCACTGATGTTAGATTGTCTCAGGGGACTGTTGGGAACGGGGACCAGGACATCAGCAGGGCTTAATTGCTCTCACCTCCTCACAGACAAGGGGAGCAAAACCTCCCAGGGCTTCCAACCCACCCAGGACGCCCCTGGAGCCATAGCCCTTCTCTGGTCATCCCTTGCAGCAGCACTGATGTGGTATGGGCAACTGCCAGGGGGACTTTACGCATGGCCTGTGACAGCATCTTAGTTAGCCTGAGTGTTTGTCTGCACTGTTTAATCTTGGAGCTGGGCTGGCAGGACAGATCTCTTGGGATAAGTCAGTGAGTCAGTGTGGCTATGCCGGGAATTCCCATCGTTAAGTGCTTTCCTGAGGGAGCTGACAACCCTAGACACCCCTCAGTTGGGGTCACAGGGCTATTGTTGCCAGATGAAAATGCCCCAGGGCTGCCACGACCCCCATCTGTGGGTGGGCTTGTTTTCCTGCTGTTACGTGCAGCCTCTGTGCATGCTCTCATCCTGCTATTTACTGGAAAATGAAAGAGGCAGTAAAAAAAACCCTCACACATAAATGTTTGAAGGGGATTTTTCTTCCATGGGATGAACTCTTATGTGGTTTGAGGGGTGTGGGAACCTGTAGGTCTGAAGGGATTGACCAGGGCATGCGTTTGGGACCCTCATGGGGAAGAGGAAGGGTCTGCTCAGCGGACAGCGCTGGTCCCAGACAGCGCTCAACACAGGAGTAAGCACCAATGTCTTTCTCAATGGGAAACGTGCAGAGACCTCCCTGGGTATGCTTTGCTCTCACAGTCCTAGCAAAGCAGGAACCTCCCTGCCCTGTTGCATGGACCCCATCTGGTGGGAAAAGTCTTTGTCAGATCCTCAGATGGAGCCTGCTCGATTCACAGAGTCCTTTGAGCCCCTTGTCCCTGTTTGACTCGTGGTCTTGGGTTCTGGTGGCCAGAGTACCTGCTTCTCCTGCTGCAGGTGCACAGCATGGTTGCAGCTGCCGTCCCACAGTCTCCAGCTACAGGCAAAGCACCTGCATGGCTGCAATCCTGTGGACTTGCGGAAGCAGGGTATGGACTCCTTCTTGCACTCTTCTGGCTGGCCAGCCTGCTTGGGAACCTAGTGCAGTGCCCCGGGCTGGCCCGGAGCCAGCTCTCACCCACTGAGGGAGGATAAGGCAGCTATGGGAGGTAATGGGCTGATCCTGCCTGGAATTTCCCCCTTGCAGGTTATGCTGCTCCTTCAGCAAAGGCGCAGGGTCCTGCAGTGCATCTAGCGTGGCAAGCAAATGCTAGGAGAAATGTAACTTCTCCACCAGGACAGTACCACTGGGCAGGGAGGGATGCACACGGGCCATCTCTTCTCATATCCCTCCAGAAGCTCAACTCATGGCACAGTGGCTTTTCCCTGCATATAAATATTTTCCAGCCAAGTAGGAGGGAGGGTTACTTTTGAAGGGATTAGGTTGTAGGAGAAGAGGAAAAGTAGTGGCAGAATGGTTTGCAGCCAAAATGCTGAGCTGTTCTCCATGTGTCAAATGAGCCTGGAGGTGCCCTGTGTGCTGGGGGTTTAGCTGGGCTCTGCTTTGGCTTTGGCTTTAGGGTCTTGGCCTCACTACAGGGAAGTCCCAAGCCTGACTCATTTGATTTTCACCAGTTACTTGAGGCAGTGGGTCTGGGTCAGGGGCATCCAGAATACCTTTGCCTTCACACCTGCCTGGACCTGGTGCTTTATAGGGTAGTGAGATGGGTCACATCTGGACTAGCTAGCTGGGGGCGTGGTTGTGGGTGGACACAAAAGATGAGTGATCCTCCCCACTCAAGGCCCAGGGTCTGCAGCACCAGGGAGACATAAAGGGTCCTGTTCCAGGGGATGCCGCTTGAGAAAGCTAAGACAGCCAGGGGACCTTTGCACGGCACTTTCCTTCTGCCCAGCTTACCAAACAGCCTGGGACAAGGAGGATTTGTGAGGTCTTGATGCATCTCTATCCCAGGCCAGCCTGCATTGGCCCTGCTTGCAAAAGTGTGCAAAGGCAGTGGGAGTTAAAGGTTCATCCCCAGCCCAGCTGGGAACTCAGGGCTTGCATGTGGGCTTGGCTGGAGCTCTGCACATTTCCTGCCCACCTGCATCCTTTGTTTACTCCAGGGCTCAAGGCCTGGCAGGGCGCCCTTGGCCTTAGATGGCCCCAAGGTGGGGAAAGGAAGCCGGAGAGGAGCAACAGCAGCTGCCTCCCCTTGTTTGCCTGAAGGCACTGCCCCATGAGATCAGGAACAACGTGCTGTGGCCCTGGGATTGTCCTCTGAGCATTCCCTTCACCCAGAGCCACCTGCCAGCCCTCCCCATGAGCCCAGCACCTCAGAGCACTTACAGCTCCATCCTGAACCCGATCAGGCTAAAGAGAGGGCATTGCCCCAGCCTGGTACCCACTCCCCACCACCGCTGGGGTGTGCTTGTCTCCCAGGGTGAAGTGGAGGCAGGAACATGTGCCAAGGGTGCAGCAGGCACAACCATCCCTGGCAAAAATGACCACTGGCAGATAGCCACTGGGGAGCCTCTGTCCTGCAGAGTTTTATTTGTGTCCATCACAACTCATAAATCACAGGCAAGCACGAGTTATGGGGTCGGCCAGGCCGGCCTTTGATGGCAGAACCGGGCAGGGCTGCCCGCCTGCGGGAACGCTGCCAGCGACAAGACCTCTCTCCAGGTACAGATGGGGCACCCAGCTTAGGGGCAGTACTGAACAGCCGGGGGGTTGCCTGTAGGTCCGACTCCGGGGCCGGCTCTGAGGGGTGAGATGCAGGGCTCCTCATCTGCTGCTTGGGGTCCGACAGCCCGTAGAGCCATGCCAGAGGGTCAGCGGCACTGGGGAGCCCCAGGGAACTCTGCTGTCCATTGAACTGGGCTGTGATGTCCTGCAGCGAGGTGGCAGAGGGCTGGCCTTTGTCATTGCTCCGGCTCAGGGTCCCTCTGGCCCTGGCCCTGGGGGCTCGACAGGGGCACAGGGGCTCACTGCCCGCTGAGCACGGCTGGGCCAGCTGGCTGTTGCACCACACTTAGGCGTCCAGCGGCTCCTCTGCCTTGCCGGGGCTGGCGGTCCCTGGCAGCGACACCCCTGGCATCAGGCAGCTCCCTCTCCCAACGAGGAGTAGCCCCGATCGCATGCTGCAGAACGAGAAGAGGGAGACAAGGAGTGAGATGATGGCAGTTTCGAGAGGTGTCTCTCCAACCTGGGCAGGGGGCCCCTTCTCCCAAATCCTCACCCTCGCAGCCCTTGCAGGGCCCTGTCTGACCCCTCGAAAGACCGATCTTGCACCACCCTCCTCACTGCATGCAAAGCCACCAAGGTGGCAAGACATGCTAGGCACTGAGTTATTGTCAGGCAGCACCATCACTTCTAAAAGACCTGTTTCTGATCCAATTAACTAAACTAAAATAATTGCCGTGTCACAAGGACCGATCCCACTGCAGAGGCAACGTGGGGTCAGATTCCCCCATCCCTTTTCCCAGAGCCTTGTTACTTGCAGCCGACCCGACTTTCATTCGACTTCCAAGATCTGTGATCTTTGGCCAGGCAGAAGCAGGAGCAAAGAGTGAAAACAAACAACAGATAAGAAATGAGGCTTGGGCTCACCTTGCTGTCAGGAATGGACTATTTTGGAAAATAAGAAATCCCCTGAGAAACTCTCTGTGTTTCTGCTGCCTTTCAGTGCGCTGAGCTCACCCCCTCCAAGCCCGTCCTCGTAGATGCTGCAGCAGCGCGGTCACTATGGCTTGAAGCGGTCTGCGATGCGGAGGCCGGCTGCGCTTCTGACCGCTGCTGCTCCCCAGCGCCTGACTTTATACCTTCCCGTTGCTGTAATTCCCAGGCAGCCGCTTCCAAAAATAGCGATGCCAGGGAACACGCACAGCTCAGGAAAGACAAAGAGCACTGACAGTTCTCAGCGGAAAAACCCCAGCCGCTAAAAGGGAGGGCCCTGGGTGATTTTGATGACCATTCAGGCAAATGTTTGTCTTTTGGAGCGAGTTCCCTGCGGGGTTAGCACATTGTTTGTGCCTTAGAAAAGGCGTTGTGTCTGGTAGTCAGCCTGGGAGCGCAGCAGAGTTACTCCAGCCCTCATTGTACACATTTTCAAAGGGGTGTTGTTTTGTGGGGGAGGTTGTTGTTATAATTCCCTGGGGAAAAAAAAAAAAAAACAAACGAAATCCACCTGAGCTTTTTTTTTTTGTCCCGAGATGCGTAGCAGAGCTGAGGAGCTTCACAGCCTGCTCTGAGAATCAGGCCTGCCCATGCTTCCCAGTGGTTTTGCACATCCCTGAGCAAACCAGCCCCACTGGGGACACGTGCTCCGCTGTGGTGTGACTTTGAGGTTGCCCACCCCTGCACTGTGCCTCACACAGGGCACATGTACCCAGTGCCCGTCCCCCTCCTGCCAAGCGCCAGGGACCCAAGGGTGTCTACTCCATCCCAAGTCACCCCTTAGCAGGCCTTGAGGACCTATGCCCTGTCTGACGTGGGACAGCCAGTCTCTGGTCTGACCTTTTCAGCCCATGGCAAGCCAGGACCTGCAGCACGCCAGCGCCGGCGCCCAAAGCGATGTGGGCTGGATAGGGTTTGCTGGTGGATCTGGTTGGTCCTGGGGATGGGACAGCCCTTGGAGAGCCGGGGCAGGAACAGAGCACGCTGGGGCAGTTCTTGTGCTCCCTCTTTCCAGCCCCGGCAGCACTGGAGCTGCTTTCCCCCTTCAACCCCAGGTGTCTGGCTCACAGGCAGGACGGGGAGCAGGTGAGACGCTCTCCAGGGGCTGTGCCCACACTGTGCCCTGCAGCACGGAGCAGGCCATGTCAGCCTGGCGGCTCCCACTTCCCTTCTCCGGCCATTCCCTGGGAAGCGGGTGAGCTGCTCACTGAAGGGGCTGCTAAATATACCCGCTCGTGTTTCCTGATAATGGACAGCCAAAAATAACCTTGCTCGGTGCAGTGAGCGCCTGAGGAAGCACACGTACGAGCCTGAAGGCGGGCACAGGGACTTCCCAGGCCTCTGACAGGGCCCCCTGGGCAGCAGGACGCTTGGCCTTGGCGAGGGGACCAAGTGGCATGTGCAGTGGGAAGGCCGTGTCCATCCTGCCCCAGGGACAGGGATCAGCCCCCAGCAGGCCAGAGAGCGTCTGTGCTGGGGCAGATAGGCTCAGCTTGCCGCTGGGGAAGGATGTAGCTTCCCAACCCAGGTTTGCCTGGCCTTGTAACGGGGTGGGAGGAAGATATTGGGGTTTGATGGCAGAGGGACACCCCAGCTTTGTTCCAGCAGTGCTTCTAACTGCAGAGGGCAGGACTCTGTGAGAGTGCACCTCTCCGGGGCAGCAAAGGGACCCACGGGCCCAACCAGGCTAAGAGGACACATAGCCCCACCAGCCAGGAGGGGGGG